ATTTATATATATAGCTATATTGATTTACCTTGCAGAGGTATTCAAGTTCGTTCCCCAAAACTAAGAGTAAAATGTATCATAAATCAAAGCTAAAAACTTATTAACTAAATGAAAGGTTAAAACTAAAGTTAAACTACAACTAAAAACTAAATTAAATATAAACAAAAACAAAAATTGAAAGAAAAAAAAAACAACAAAAAAACTATCGTTTATTGTTATGCGTTTTAAGCTAAACTCGAATATAATAATCGTATGTTAAATATACATAAATTAATCTAGCATTTAATTTATTACATTTAAGCAGCATGTTGGAAAAAATTAGTAAAAAGTAAAAAAAAAAAGAAACAAAAACAGAAGAAAAGAAAGTACTCGAAAAGCAAATGTCGAAACGTAACTGCGCCTGGCATAGAGGAGCGCGCCATTTTATTTTGTAATTTTCTTATAAATTTTTATTATTTTATTTATTTAAAAACAATGCTGATGATGATGATGAAGATGGTGATCATGATGAAGAAAGTTGAAAAAATATAAATGAAAAAATCGTATTAAAAAAACATATAAAAACAATTTAAACGCTCTGCCTTTTTATTTACTATAAATAGATTTTTTTCGAGTTGCTGTTCAGCGTTGTCGAAAAATTTTCGTTGCGCGTCGAGGTGAGTAGCTTAACAATAGCCGAAAATCCCCCGTCTCTATGTACCTTCGATAGCTCAGTTGGTAGAGCGGTGGACTGTAGACGGTGAAATACGAGTAGATATCCATAGGTCGCTGGTTCAAATCCGGCTCGAAGGATTTCAATTTTTTTATTTTTTTATTTTTATTTATTGCATTTTATCTTAAATTTGGTTGCGTATTTCGAAAATTTCGTATATATCATACAGAAAACTAGAAAATGACTTTTATAAATATTTACTTATTTATATATATTACTTTACTTTTTTAATTAAATTTAATAGTACAATTTGAATACACATATTTAATTGATAATAAACATCAATAAAAAATATAATATATATTTCTATATCTTAAGGTAAGCTGTAAAAAAATTATTTTAAAATCATCTATAATAATACTATATATCTGTTAACTATGTGTATTTAGTTACACCTGTTTAAATGTCTTGCATTTTTCTCATTACTTAATCTACTTAATTAATAATAACCTTATACTTTAATTCCAAATTCTCTTTTTTATTAAAAAAAAAAAAAAAAAAAAAAAATTACCATGATCCTTCGAGCCGGATTTGAACCAGCGACCTATGGATATCTACACTACACTTGTGTTTCACTGTCTACAGTCCACCGCTCTACCAACTGAGCTATCGAAGGTCTATATATGGCGTCGCCCCAATTCGGTTTAAAAATAGCTTTCGAAGACAATTTTGAAGACCAATCAGAGCAAGACAACAACAATTTCGATCGCATTAAACAAAAGTGAATGCAAATGCTTATCGCAGCATAAAAGCTAAGCGCTGCCCGCTGCCCGCTGCCCGCTTATCCGCTTACCGGAGCAGCGGGCATTACGTGTGCTGTCGATAAGATGATAGCGAGTGCACGCGAACTTAAGTGCTCGCAGGCATTCCAGATAAACGCAATAAAAACAAACTATTGTGAATGTACAAAAATCACCCAATGTTCGCACTGATATTTAGATTCGGATGAAAAACGTAACGCGTGGCGCTTAATCGCGAACATTTGCCAAGAAGCATGCTCGCTTCCCTGCGGAAAACTAAAGAGCGAGCATAATAGATAGATAGTTAATAATAGCAATTTACTAATGTCTATTTTAGTATATTACAATCAATAATGAATATAAGTAATATATTTTTTTGATAATCAACATAAATATTTATTTAAGTATTTTATATTTGTATTTATTTTGATTTTCTTAATACAATAATTGAAAAGTTTTCTAATTTGTTAAAAAATAAAATGACACAAAATTTCTGGAAATGTTCGCATATTGAAAAAAAAAGTATCCTGAATAAAATACATGTTTAAAGTTCATTTAAATAGTTTTCCGTTTCATATAATTTTTATATATATCATAAAGTAATATTTTGGACCAAACTCTATTTGTAACAAAAATTAACTTTTCCTTTTCTTTTTTTTTTTAATACATTCCGATTAATATTAAATGTATATTAGTATATCAATTACAATTTAAATATTTTTGATATATAAAAACAAATATTAACAACATAAATAAAATTGTTTTGAAATAATATTATATATTAAATTTACATGTTTACTTTCTCATTTTCAATTTTTGAACTTGGAATTCTATATTTAGTATCCATAAGTTAATTATAGATCACACGCATGGTTCACATGCACAGTGCAGTTGGTTAAGCTCAAAGCTCGCCTCGTAAACAATGAAAGCTCTCAATTGAAAAACGCACCAATACAAACGCAGTCACCAATACACAAAGAGGCATCAAGGCAAATGGCGCGAATCAATCAGCTGGCGATCTAAATATGATGCAACATTTGTTATAGAAAAGAACGCGATTATTATATGTTTGTACTCGATTATTTATATGCACATACATACATATATGGCCAGCTGATAAGGAGGATTGTGCCAGACAAGTAAATTGAGGTTTTTGTCACATATATGTATGTATAGAAAGGAAAACGACTTGAGGCTATTTATAGAATATCTCAGAACAACAAGTACAAATGTCTATGCCGGGTGTTAACAGCTGTACAATACTTGCTCACGGTATAAATGCGGTGCATTCACGTTTCGATATACCTCAAGGATATATGTATAACTCATTGGTCTTGCTGTGGAAAGTAGAGGCTAGAGGAGTTCCTCCTGCAATTTCTCGATTTCCTACGACCCTGTAGAATACCAATATAAAGTGAAGTTATAATTCTTTTGTTCTACCTCTAACACCACGCCTCTTAGGGGTATTTACTTACCTCTACTTGACTTGCCAGTCGGTCGAACGTAGAGCAGGAGGGTTAGACAGTCGGAAGGACGGACAGACGGACATATGGACATGTATCCAGATGGACCACGCACAAAGCTAATATACTTTTCTCTTTTTATAAAAGAGCATCAAGATTCTGAGTTCGAGTCGACTAGAGACGAGCCAAGACAAGTTTCGAATCCGTGTGAGTCATGATTGGATTTTATTTATTTACTGCGTCTGCTCTTCTTCTTCTTCTGCTTCTTCGTTTTTATCAAGGTTCGGTAAATTAATTTATCCCGGTTCTGTAGTGCACTACAAAGTCAATTTTCGGCTCAATTAAATGACTCATCCGAGCGGCTAAAAAGATGCTGCAAACGGAGCAAGGGGCGCAGCAGTCGGAATTTCAGATTAGTTGCTAAATAAAATAAAACTAAGTACAAAATGTTGTCAAAAATTGAGAGAGCAGAAGGAAAGGTGTTTGAAAATTTCCCGGAACTTGGCAATTTTTTCTTTGTAGATTTTGACCAAGCGATAAGACGCCCACATACCAAAAACGACGAAGAAGAAAAACTAAAGATTCATTCAATCATCGCAGGAAATTGATACCAACATCAAGAGAGCTAAACCGAAAGGAAAACTAGAGAAACTCTTTAGATCGTTCCATCGTGATAAGCCGAGGGCAAAACTATTTGAGTCATTCTTAAAAAAATTATGAACATAACTAGTTACCTGACCGAAATTATGCTCTCCTCTGGCGATGCGCTGGACGCGCCCCCCGCCGGGCACGCTCACCCTCGGCCCGAAAGGGCCCATCATTTTCTTATCTAACAAGACAGTTTGGGCAATCGATCCAATATGCTGTATATATATATATGTATATGTATATACGTACATACATATCTATATAGAATTTCCTTCATTTTTAGCTCTCATACGTTGCTCAATGGATCACACAAATTGCCGCAAGGCGCTCCTTATATATATTTATGTGTGTGTGTGTGTGTGTGTACCCGTGAGTGTGTGTGTTTTTGTCAGTAATTAACCGTAAGCTGTCAGTTTTTTCGCTCTGCTAGCCATACTTCTATATACAATATATATTGTATACATATATAGATTAACTGATATTTCCACAAATGCACGCTTAGTTACTTGATACCCTGTATTTACTGATGGTAGGAAGATCTGAGTTGCTGTAAATTATATATCCGAGTGTAGTCACTCACATACAGGGTATCTTTATCTCGAGCTACAAATAAATATTAACATCTATATACAGGGTATATTCTGGTCTCTATCAAATATCAATATATTAAGTGATTTTCAATTACCATTAATCTGACGAATATTACAGACCAACAGTATGTATTAATATAGATTAACTTAGTAACGTTATATAGAGTATAATAGCTATATTGACCAAAAACATATATTCAAATTGCAGTTCCTTGTCTTTGTGCACTCTCATACAGGGTATCTGGCGGTCAGTCACATTCACACACAGCTCACGCCTACTTGTTCTTTGTTTTATGACTTGCTGCCTTCCCTTTTTGTGTTTTTGGCATCCTAATTGGTTTGTTAAGTATACCGCTCCGTTCTGCTATCCTCTGCTGGCCTGGGCCTCGTGTGTGAGCCGTCTCACTTATCAGCAAACACTTTGCGAGGCGCCGCCGCTGCCGTTGCTGTTGCCGCTGTAGCCCCTGTCGCTGCGGTAGTTTGTTCTAGGCCAGGCCAAGAAGCCAAGTGCGTGCCCACCTGCCTCTTGCTTGCTGATAAGGCACAGCTCTAAAGATTTAGTTTCTTGTTGCTTTGGGCGCGTGTTTGCTGCATGATTCACTTTTTGGCTTGGCCACAGGCGAAGTCCCTCAGCCTGCCGCAGAGGCGGATGAGTCATGGACAGCGTTTTTCTAGGTGGCCCCGTTAATTGTTGCCGTGATAGCAATGCAGCACCCCTCTTTGTTTACACGTCTAAGCGCCGTTGTTTGATCCACCGAAATAACAGACGAAAATCCAATTCGAAAACAACAACAGCAGCAGCAGCAACAACAATAACATCGCTACGTTCATTGCTTGCGCAGCAAAGCTCTTATCTCTCGCTCGCACACTCACACGCTTGGCACAGCTTTCGCTCAAGAGCGCACGCACACATACAAGCATACACTGACTGGCAAACGTTTTGATTTATTCAACGTTCGCTCGCTTGCTCACTCGCTCACTTGCTCGCTGATAAACACCATTCGCGTCGTTTGCTCATTTATGCGTTTTGGCGCACGTTGCTCATCGACCTTCGATAGCTCAGTTGGTAGAGCGGTGGACTGTAGAGTGAAGATATTGAAAGTGTAGACATCCATAGGTCGCTGGTTCAAATCCGGCTCGAAGGATCTTGTAAAATTTTTTTCTTTTATTTATTTTTAAAAATTGTAATTATTAAAATGAGTAATATAAATATAGAAAAAAATATATTTTATGCGATTTACATAACAAATTAGTTTTATTATTATTATTTTCTATATATTTTTAGTGCATTAAATGAGTAAGGGACACAAATTGAAATTCTAGTTTTCTCGAGACTGAAATATGCATATTGTATATATATGTACATATCTCTGATATAGCAATATTTAATAATAGTTGAGCTTGCACAAGTGAATTATTGTCTGATTAATTTATTCGCATTTAACATTGATCGCTTTAAAGTTGAATTTAATTTATATGGGCTACCCAGAGAAAGGCAACAATTGTATGCAGCCCAATTTGCATGGCCAGACGCTGTGCCGCTTCGTGGCTGCGACTCATCGTCTCCCCAAGGGGCAACCGGCAGACGTGCAACAAAGCCAACCAGAAAATGTCTGTCAAAAGTTGTTGCAGACGTCCTGCCGCTGTTTCGGCTGATGGTTTTGCTGACTGGTGGCTGCTTCTGCTTCTGCTGCAGCTTCTGCTTCTGCTTGTGCTCCCAAACAGATGCTATCAATACATCATTTGCCTTTGTGCTGCTGTCACAAATTCATTCACCTGTTCTCGGGCAGCGGCTGAAAATGAAGCCGCAAACCTGGCCGCCACACAATTATACTGCGTTGATCTCCAATTAGGCTGTCGAAACTCCATTTACACTGCAACGGGCGTCCCATAAAATATGAGACTTGGCCTTTCATACTCATACACACACACACACACATTAACAGAAAGCTGAAGAAGAAGGGAATAATAATAATAATATATGTGAAAAAAAAAACTCTTGCTGTGCTGCGCGAGTTGCAAGTCATCAAGGCATCTCCAGGCAACATCATCATCATCGGCAGGTTAAGTAAATACAAATATGAATGAATTGCTGCGCATCTGACTGCGGATAGATGTGGATATGAATGTGAAGATCTGGATCTTGGCGAATCATTGTTGGAGTGGAGCACAGCTTGAGTGCAGGCGCTTCGCCTCTTCTGACTCTGCCCCCCTCGCGCAGTTGCAGCTTTTTGGCCTTTGTCTCGTTTCAACAACTGTTTTACGAAAAGCAATTCGTGTAATTTGCTGCTCCTCAATGGGGAATAGGGCATGGAGCATGGGACATGTGGTAAGTGGTAAGTGGTATGTGGAAGCCCTAGGCATGCCTCGAGCTGCGCATTAATTAGTTCAGCACTCGTCGCTAGAAACATTCTGCAAGCTAGCCACAGGCATTTCATTGGTATTTGCCAATCTAACGACGACAGAACTTAATACCCACAACTCTCTTTCACTGCATTCTTGAAATTCCAGAGAGAAATGAGAAAGTTGTTGACTTAACTGCACACTCTACTATGATGCATCAATATATTAGTTTATAACGTATGATTAAAGTGAAAGAAGATTGTAAAAGCTAAAAGATTTGCATGGAAAATATGTGTGAAAAGCTTTTCGATTATGTTTGGACTTAGCATCTAACTGAAGAAGCAATGACAATGACAATGACAATGACAATGACAATGACAATGACAATGACAATGACAATGACAATGACAATGACAATGACAATGACAATGACAATGACAATGACAACGACAATGACAATGACAATGACAATGACAATGACAATGACAATGACAGTGACAATGACAAGATAAAAAATATTT